CCTAGTAGCTTCTTGTTACTACTAGTAAGGCACTTGTTACTAGTAGCGATGCACTTGTTCCTAGTAGTTTCTTGTTTCTACTAGCTGAGTTTCTTTCTGTCCGGATGAGGGACACTGAGAAGTTTGGTTTCGCTTCTTGATACGCCCTCAACGTGTGAGGGCTACGTGGCAAGTAGTGCACCGCACATACTACCAGAAGACACTTGACAAGTGGTTGGTAAATCTCAAGACAACCTTACTGGTTACCTTCTGCAATTTCTCACGCTTGGCTCACGCTTTCGGGAGATGATACAAGTCCCTCTCTACAATGTTCTAACTAGTGACTAGTGTGAAAATTCTGATATGAACAACTGAACAACCATTGTTGCTGTAGCGTTGAACAATTGCTGCAGCCGGGAGAAATGCTAAGATTGACTTTGTATAAAGCCTTCTTTTCATTCTAGATTCTCGCAGGTAGTATGGCATGGTGGGATAGTCAAGCCATCTATCAGGTCATCTAATCCTAAGGCCTCAAGACAGCCCTCTCTTGCCTTTCTTGTCTTGTCGTGCTCTTCTGATCCGCTGAAATCTTGAGACCGTTGTTTCTTCGCGGACCTTGAAACCGGTGTTTTCTGTGTTTGTGGGCGGTCAAGGCCATGTCCTATCAGTAAGCGTTTATGGCAGTTTGACCTCGGCAATGAATAGTCGCTGTCAATGACTCATGCGGCGTGCAAGCCAAAAACTCACTGCGTCTGAACGAAATCAAGAAAGAAGAATCAAAGCCAGTGAGCAATTGAAACTAAGTAGCTATGAGCGTGGGCAAACCAAAGTCAAGAAAGGGAATGGATGTAAACAACTGGACAAACGCATGGACCAAAAAGAGCAAGGCAAAGAGACTAAAAAAACTAAGAAACTACTAATAGCAATGGCCTCCAACCAAATAGCAATGGTCTCCAACCTAATAGGAATGCAAAACCCTTTAGATTTCTCCTTCTCCAAGAACTTCTTGTAAAACGCCAGCGTCTCCCAAGGATCATCAATGGTTGCACCCCCAAAGGCGCCAGGTTTGTATAAATTCGTCTCGTTGCTCAGGACACCAATCAACCCAACGCGCTTGTGAGGAAGTTCAATGACTTCCACTGCTTTTTGTCGACCCACACACTTTCTGAAAGACTCATGGGATTGCATGTTGCTGTTGATCCAGACCTGAAGTGAAACATCAGACTGAACATGACTGAAGGCCTCCAACCTACTAGCGATGGCCTCCAACCTAATAGCAATGAACAAACATAATAAACATATGTTTCTTGTGTTTCTTTCCTTTCTTCGACAGGACTCCAAGAAGCTCTTTAACACAAACAGTGCTTCTCAGGCACGCCCTGGTACTCCTCCACTCGACACATCACGTCTTCGTGAGAAAGGTCAGCTTCATGGTTTCCCCAGGTGACCTAGGAACAAGTGCCTTACTAGTAGTAACAAGAAGCTATTAGAAACGAGTGCATCGCTACTAGTAACAAGTGCCTTACTAGTAGTAACAATGTTTGCTATTAGAAATCAATTTTCAAGTGACCTCCGAGATGTGATGTCTAGTAGCTTCTTGTTACTACTAGTAAGGCCCTTGCTCCTAGTAGCGATGCCCTTTGCTCCTAGTAACTAGTAGTTTATTTAACTTAATTCCTTTCTTCCTTCTCTGTTTTCTTTGTTTCTACTAGCGATGGCCTCCAACCTAAGAGCGATGGCCTCCAACCATGATTTCCCCAAGTGACGTATTGGATTGGAGTCTCATTTAGCATACGGATCATGCCCACCCCTCTGTCGATGGAGGACAGCAGGTATGGCGCCAAGAAGTCCTTAAAGGCTGCTGCGACGCTGCAACAGGGAAATTAGACACAATATCTGGGGCATAGAACGGGTTGGTTTTATTGCAGCTTGTTTAAACTTATAGATACTAATAAATACATCACATACATATATGTATATATGTACATTCAACAAATATGTACAGTACATACAATAAATGGTAAATGGTACCCCGCGCCCGGTACCTACCCTTAATGGTGTTTGTTTGTTTTCTGAGTTTTTTGGGAGGTTAAAAATTGTTTGTCTTGGGGAGCATATTACACGCAGTCAAAACATTTAGATACACCTGTGCATGTGGTTATATTGTAATTGTTGACTGGCAACTGGTAAGATGGCTGCAAGAAGTGTTCTTGTCCAAATCTTGAACATGGAGCCACAGTAATTGCAACTAGTTGGGTTGAAGATTCATCATTCAAGACTACTGGAGAATGTTTCTTGGGAATATCGAATAGTGAACCTTGAATCCAAATGCACTTGAAACTAATTAGCTGCAAGTAATTGCCTTCAGGTTCATCATTGGCTGGAAGCCCTTCCCAAAATCTTCTGTCTTTTACCCCACCTTTCTTGCAAGTAGTTGCACAACTCCAGCAATCTCGGTTCTTGCTCCAAGGAGCAACTAGTTTGATCTGGTTCTCCTTAAGGCTTGGCGCCTTTCAAAGTATTAAGTAGCCATATGACCTTCTATAACTACCTCATTCAGCCTTTTATGCAGTAATGCATTTGCTGCATTGATATAGAAACCGGCAATAGTAACGCGGATGTCTTTATCGATACAATGTGAGTCTTTCAGGGTGCCATTCTGTGCCCAACTCAGTTGAAATGATTGTCTATATGATGAGTCTGATGAGTCCTAGTAGCGTCCTTGTTCCTAGTAGCGATGCCAGGAGCCCCTAGTAGAGTCCTTGTTACTACTAGTAAGGCACTTGTTACTAGAAGCGATGCACTTGAGTTCCTAGTAGCGTCCTTGTTCCTGTCTATATGAGTCCCAATTCCATGCCCCGGACCCATCAGCCAGGGCCACGCGATCGTCTTGCATCACAGGACGATCACGACGCATGACATGTCACGCAGCGACCTTTCTGCATGGAGGACCGATCCAAGGACGCTCCGTGATGCCCTGCCAAGGTCTTTTGCCCTGGATCAAAATCAAAACCACAAAAGTCAATGCCTCCCTGCCGGCCCACTAGTTGCTTCAACTCCTTCCCAGCTTCGAGTTGTTCAGCTTTGATAAATGGACCAGAAAAGGAAGATAGTGCGATGAATTAACAGTGAGGAATGTGGGAGCAGTTCAATTCCGGACCGGCTGGGGATTGACAGTGTCCTTCCAAAGCTTATATACTCAGATTTAATATTAGCGAATCCGCCCTGTGGCCTTGCGCAAAGGCGCAACTGACATTCTTTGAGCCTTCTTGAAAATGAGGCCGTGACTGATTGGTCTGTCTCACAGTGTAACCACTGGAAGAATTTGACAAGAAATATTTAACGGATCGGTTTGGGGGTGCCTCTTGGGGCAAACCCATGGTAATCCACTAACATGTTGTATGTTGTTCCTTTTGACGCTGAAACTCTCAGTGTGATATATTGCGATTCGGCTTCTCCTACAAGTCTTGCCTAATCCTCTGTGCCTCTGCCAACAGACTACGAAATGTGGGATTTGAGTTGTACGTTCCCCAGTGGTTTTGAAGATGTGTCAACGTCACACGTTCGCTATCGAAAGTTGGGAGTATCTTGGTGGGTACTACCACTGCAAAACAGAAACTGCGAAGAAGCTTGTGCACATGCTCATTCCACGCCAGTTTGCTCTCAAGTACCTTTGATTGATGACCAAATCAAGCACAATGAAGGAGGCTCAAAGGATGGACAGAACTCGCACAACCGCAACCAGGAAATGGTGGGTCTTAATGGCTCAAATGTTCTTGCAATCCGAAACAAGGTTCGCTAGTAGGAACAAGTGCCACGCTAGTAGTAACAGGTGCCTTACTAGTAGTAACAAGGTTTGCTATTAGAAACAAGAAGCTAGTAGAAACATACTTCAACAAGTTGTTTGATTCGACTTGGATTGCAAAGTCACTCTGAATTGAAGGAACACATCACAGTTGGGTTCACAAACAAAACTTGGCAGTTTCATCCTCTCCCATGTTCTCTCTGGAAGGTCTTATGAGGCACACATCTACCTTTCAAAAGAGCTCAGTTACCCCATGACAGCTCTTGCCTCTGTATACCCCGGTGCTGTTGGCGAGTCCAGCGCACACTTCTGGTGCACCATGGTGCCCCTCTCGAAAGTAACCTCTCATTCTCGCGCGGACGCAAAGTGGAAGCCTCAGCCTCAGAGTGCAGAGATCTCAACGTGGTTGTTTCACATCAAGTTTCCGCCCTCTTGCTTCTAAGCATTCTGCACGACCTAGTCATCTTTCTGAAAAGAACATGCTGTTTCAAAGGTTCCTTCGCTCCTACAAGGCTGCAAAAACACATGACACATGGACGTTGAGTTGCACTTTCAAAGCACACACGCACAAACCAATTGTTGGGTTTCACGAAAACAGGCGGTCTGCAAGGACAAGCAGAAACGGTTGTTCTTCTCCTGTGCACCAGTATCCCCGCCAATGAGCAGCTGAGAAATCAGGCACTGGAGAATTTAAGATTTCAAGCGGTTCAGAGTTCTTAGTGATCAGTTGAACAGAAACTGAAGAGACCCAACAATCACCTGCCGTGATGGGTGGCAAAACAATTGGACTCACCTCAAGTCTCAGCTGCTGAAAAGGCTGCAACTAGATGGAACACAGGAATTTGAGTGGGCTCTGGAACATTGTTCTTGGAAACCTAATTTTGGAGTTGGGCGTCTAGAAGGACCCCTTTTGAGGCTTCTGAGGAGCAGTGAAGGGGAGCTGGTCGTCATATTCTGATCCGCCAGAATTCAAGAACTTGAGGCAATCCATGGGTTATCTGATCATCTCGATGCCACACACCAGTGTTTTTGGTTTTTTTTGGCCAAGGAAATGCTTAGAGAATGAAAACCAAAAAATTAAGATTGTTTTCACGTGCAAAGTGTCAGATAAAAACCTATGATGTGCACCATGCGATAGAACCAACGCAATTCCAAAGGGGGGCCCACCAATTTCGGACCATGTGGTTAGACGCTGCATGTATCCCATGTCCGTTCTTTATCCACAAAAGCCGGGGTGCCAACGGAGGCACTCGATCCTGAGCAGCCAAACGCGTTAAGCTACTTTGGGGGGATACCACCGGCTTTACAAGTCATCACACAGGGTGAACCATCTAAATTCCAAGGTAGACCAACCATGGCCGTTTGTATATCATCATATATCATCAAGGAACACGTGTGTTCAACCCTCAAGTCGCTGAAATGCACGGATATCGTATTGGCCCCCCAACAAGCACGAAAGACTGCCTTGACAGCTAAAGTGAGGTAAGCCCGAAAAAGGAAGCCACAATCACATGACAGGCCTCCGAGTGCTTGGAGCGCTTGGCCTAATTGTGCTGATAGTGCCGCCGATGGTGACGCCGATGCTGACGGTGGTGACGGCGGTTGTACCTGGCGGCCGCTCGCACGCACGGACACTGTGAGTGACTCGAGCTCAGTTTGGTTTAAGCTTGCATTGGAGACACCATACAGGCTTCACAAGTTGAGCCACAGCCAAGATGTTGAAGGGTTAGGGCGATCACATGTGCCGGCTTCACTGAACACTCTAGTGGCGTGTCCATGAGGCACAGATATCAAGTTAACAGACTGCTGCTGTGGCCACGTTAGTAAGAACTTTTGCGATTGGCTATGTGGGCGGGTCACGACCCTGACACCATGAGATGGTAGAGGTGAAGGCCACAGACTCCGCGAGTTCAGCGACGATCAGTTTCCAGAAAGACCTCGTGAGCTTTTGTCTTGCTTGCCATGACAGTGCATTGGCACGGAGCTGTTAGGCTTCAGCTTCAACAATCCAGCCGTTGCAGTTCAGGACGCTTCAACGTTGCCTGGAAAACCTGCTGTCCCATTCTAGCAGGAAATGGCGACGATGGCAGTTGAAATGTCCATTGACTGATCACGGGCAGCATGAAGACCAACAAGCTCCGCGGGACATGCAATGTTTCATGCACCTTGCTGTGGGAGAGGAAGCGCAACCTCGTTTACCTTGCCACGCTCACCACGCACCACGCACCCCAACACACACGACCTGTCATGTGGTTGATTGGAGCACCTCAGATTTCCAAGCGGCAAGGAGCAGCCTCTCACGAGAAGCACAACGACCCACCCTCAACGCCACAAAGCAACACCCGTCCCGAACACTTGAGAGGCTCCGCCTGGTCTCCAACGCAGCGTGGGGTGCCAAGGAGCAGCTGCTACAATGAATTTGCTTGCCAAGCGCTAGAAAAGAAGAAGCAGAAGAAGAAGAAGAAGAAGAAGCTGAGACCAAGATAAGCAATCCACTCCATCAGAGACTTCACCACCTCACACCGCCGCACTCACGAATCTTTGCTCCTCACCGGCTTTGAATCAAAGCTCCCCGACACAGGTCCATGTGGTGATTGCTGATCGCAGGGCTGACCTGACAGCATGGAGTGGTGCCCAGCCACTTCTGGTACTCAAGATGGCCGCCCACTGCTTGGGCTTGTCTGCATGGCACGAAATGGCCAAGTGTGGCGCCAGCTCCAATTGTGGCAAGGTGGCTCCGACCGGGCACACGGTGACAAAATTAGAGCGCTGGTGGCACCAGCACCACCACAAGCGGGCGTGGTTGTAAAGACTGCCATGCCACACCTTTCCCATGCGTCAGCTTCACCGAGTCCACCTGATCCACCTGTGTCATTTAAAAAAAGGCGCAAGTGCGCAGCAAGCTAAGTATCAGGTTGACAGACCACAGTGGCCGCGAGGGCCTAATCTCTCCTTTGTCCATGCTTAGCTTGGGGGGGCCACATCATGCCACGTCCTGCCAACGCCATGAAATGGTAAAAAAATGGCTGCAGAGTTCGCAAGCTCGCTGCTGACCGGTTTACCTTGCGAGCTTTCGGCTTGCTTGCCAATCGTTGTGAAGCTACAACATGACAAAACCTGTTGCCTTGAATTTTTGTTTGATCTTGTATGGTGACTCACAATGCTGAAGATTCAAGGCCTGCACCTACCGGAATCTCACATTGAAACCCGCCTGTAGTTCTTCTTAGTCGTGCCTGGCGCCGTTGTCGTCGTGATGTCAGGCGCTGTCGATGTAGTGGGTGACGTGGTCGGTGAGGTCGTTGGTGACGTAGCCGGTGAGGTCGTTGGTGACGTGGTCGGTGAGGTCGT